TAACTAGTATCTCCTCATTATCAGAAACTTAGATCCTTTAGGACATTTGACGTGAATGGGCCCTGTGTGGTCCAAGAGCACTGACACATTAAGGTGAGTAGAAGTTAGTGTTTCACCAATCATCTTTATCTTTTTAACATCCCCTAAATCTCAGAGCTATATGAATCATGGATTCAGGAAACAGTGATGGTTTATTTCTCTTTCTATTACTAATTTTTAATGAAGATTAAAGAGACTGGAAGTAATGGTTGTTTAAAGACTTTAGAAGATGTGTCAGTTTTTTTCTCAGAGTAGATGTTCATCATAGATAGGAAAAGAAGATAGAGATTTCTGAGGAATGAGAAGTAATGTTCTTTGAATATTATGCTCAGTGGGTAAAGACAACCATGAATGAGTAACAACTGCTCTAACTGTGCTTTTGGAGTCAGTGACAGAGGTCCCTGTTAATGTGCCCCTTTCCTACTGTTTCTACAGATCTACTGGTGACAAAAATGGCTATGGAGAATGACTCTTCAGTGACCGAATTCATTCTCACTGGATTGACAGAGAATCCTGAGCTCCAGCTGCCCCTGTTTGTCATCTTTCTAGTGAACTTTGTAGCCACTGTGCTGGGAAACTTGAGTTTAATGAGTCTCATTTTCCTGAATTCAAACTTGCAGACTCCCATGTACTTTTTTCTCTTTAACCTGTCCTTCATTGATTTATTCTATTCATTTGTCTTTACTCCCAAAACATTAATGAGTTTTGTCTTAGAGAAGAACAGAATTTCCTTTACGGGATGCATGACTCAGCTGTTTTTCTTCTGCTTTTTTGCCAATTCTGAGTGCTATGTCCTGACAGCCATGGCCTATGATCGCTATGTAGCCATCTGTCAACCCCTGTTGTACATGGTCATCATGTCTCCTAGGAGATGTTCCCTGATGATGTTTGGTTCATACTTGATGGGGTTTGTTGGTGCCTTTGTCCTTACAGGATGTGTGATCAGGCTCAACTTTTGTGATTCTAACATCATCAACCACTACGTGTGTGATATCTTCCCTCTTTTCCAGCTCTCCTGCAGCAGCATCTATGCCAATGAGCTTGTGAGTTCAATTGTTGTCAGCACAGTAGTCATTGCATCCAGCATCATTATCTTAATGTCCTATGCTTTGATTCTTTTTAATATCATTCAGATGTCATCAGGTAAGGGTTTTTCCAAAGCCATGAGCACCTGTAGTTCTCACATAATAACTGTTGCCCTATTCTATGGATTCGGGATGCTTACACATATCAAAACATCATCAAATGAATCTGTGGACCAGCGGAAAGTTTTCAGTGTATTTTGTACATTTTTGCTGCCCTTGCTGAACCCTTTTATTTACAGTCTCAGGAATAAGGATGTCAAGCTTGCTATAAGGAGAACTCTGATGAGACTCACAGTGAGTTAACCACTGTGGCTGCCATGGTCCATTTCTCTACTTCAGGTGTTTCTCTCTACTTCATTTTCATATCACCTTCTTTTCAATATTCTCTTTCCTTCCATTCATCTTTCTTTTTCTATTTTGGTAAGATTTCCACTTTATTATTATTTTTTCTGTTACCTCAACAAAAATTCTTGATTTGCTTATGTGGTAATAAGAAAATATTTTTGATCTAGGAACTTAGCTGAATGTGGATCCAGCTTCATCTTTGTATAAAGTAGAGTTCCAAGATGACATATTTTGTATCTTCAGACAACTGTATATACTATGTACTTCTGCAACAAAGGAAAGCCAGGGAGTTGAGGGCTTTCAAATATTAGTTTGCTTGTGTTGTACTTTTTAGATAGGAATTTGTAGAGCTTTTCCTATTTCAGGTCTTTTAAAACACTTGTGAATTGCATTAAAAGAGAGAATGGATGACAAAAACTGTAGCCATTGTAAAGTTCAAACTTTCTAGCATTATTTATTGTCTGTCAAGATTTTTCTTCTGCACCTCATCATCACAAAATGACATTATTTATTTTCTTGGAGCAATGCTCCATTTTTGTCATTATTAAAGATTGAATTATGCTAATTTTTTATTTAGACTTCTTAACTATTATTAACATCAATAGTGATTATGTTGTGGAAGGATGTTTTGTCATAAATACAATGGAATTTGTCACTGAATTTGAACTATTGATAAATATTGATTACTTTTAGAAATATCACAATAACAACATATGTCTAAAGTCATTATTCCCTTTGTCTTATACAAAGAATCATAATTTCCAAAAGTTTACTTAGTTTAAACAAAGAAATCATAGGTGACATTATAACTTAATGATAGAGTAATTACATTTGTTACTATTTGATTCTTACCACACATGTACGTGCACATACATATGTACATATGTATACATCTCAAACATATGTTCATATACATGTGTTTATGGCAAAAATATTGAACAACTGGAATTTTTATTTAAATGTAAAAATCTGTTTTTTTCTTTTGCTCATTTCTAGGAACCTCTCACCCCCACTCACACCAAACCAAACAAAAGCCTAATCTACTGGAATAATGTATATGTAATGGGTAACATTCTTAAATATAATATTAATATAACTCTTCCTTCCTCGTCTCTGGATTTGACTTGTTTTAGGTTATATGGTTAGTAATACAAATTCTAGTTTTTAACCCATTGTGCATAAAGAAGGGAAGAATTAGAATTGTGAAGTGACACAGAGAGCTAGAGAGTTGTTCAGAAAGAGTCTGAAAGAGGGGGAGGACCTGGTGACCACATGGAAAGCCTGGTTCCTGTGCTTCTGCGGACTTTGAGTGTATTATGATGACCCAACAGTTCCCAGATCTGTTACAAGGAATTCTTTGGGACATGAAAGCTGACACTGGCCAAGACTCACATCATAAAGACAGTGGCTGGGGAGACATGAAGCTCTGGGCAGAAGCTGGCAGAGCACTGGGCTAGGTGGGAAGCAAGATTGACTCTTCACAGTTTTTATGTTGCTGTGGATCATTCCCTCATATCACACAACCTCAGCAGTTGGCAACTTCAGCAAGCTGATGAATTGCTTGTACCACTGTTTCCCCACATGATGCTTAGACACAACATTTTAAGACTTTTGTATGGCTTTGACTTTGGGTTGGAGTTCAACTGTACAGATGTACTAAGATGTGTAAACAGCTACCAACAGTTGCTCAAAGTAGTTTGCTGAGAAGCAGGAGGGAGTATGAACACTTCAAAGAGATTATTATAACTTATGTTGAACTATAAAATAGAATATAAAAAGAAAGACAAAAAAGCATGACTTAGTCTCCTTAATTATTGTTCTTATAGTCGACTATGGATATCAGAGAAGTTTAAAGCTGGACAACAATTGAGTAGTTTTCCTGTTTGAGGATGAACCATATTTTTACCCAATTTCAGTCCTGAGCTTGCAAGTTGCAGCATTGCCTTCTTACTGGTTTCTGCTCTTGAGAGTTATCCTTAGAAATGATGGGTTGAACTGTAGTAATCAGATTGTTGAATACCCTAGCTGTCATCATAGAGCCTCCATCTGGTCACTGATGGAAGCAAATGTAGAGATCCACACAGCCAAGCACCAGGCTGAGCTCCAGGGGTCCAGTCAAAGAGAGTGAAGAGGGATTCTATGAGCAAAGGCCATTAAGATCATGATGGGAAAACCAACAGACAAACAAACCAAACTATTGGGAACTCATGAACTGTGGTCCAATGGCTGTTGATCCTCCATAGGACTGGACTAGACCCTCTGTATAGACAAGACCTGTTTAAGGGGCCCCTGGTAGTGCGATCAAAATCTGTCCCTGGTTTGTGAGCAGGCTCTTTGGAGCCCAGGGTCTGTGATGGGACACCTTACATAGCCTTAGTTCGGCGGGGGGTGGTGGTGGTGGCATGTACCTGCCTCAACTGAATGTATTAGGCTCTGCTGACTCCCCGTAAGAGTCCTTGCCTTGGAGGAGGAGGTGGGAATGGGCATTAGGTTGTGGGGGAAGCCTGGGCAGAGGTGGGAGGAGGGAGGAGAAGGGCATCTGTGGTTGGTATGAAAAATGAACAGAAAATTTCTTAATACTAATACTAATAAAAAAGAATTGCTGAAGCCTCATCAGGCCAAGAAAAAAAAGATAGGTTGTTTATCACAGTGTATGACAGGATACTTAACCATGAGATCAACAAGACTTATACTTCATAAGAATACATAGTTCACTAGTGAGAAACTTCTATAATTTAGTGCCTCCTCTCTTCAAGGAACTTAATAAAACACCAGAATTTGCAAATAAAAGACAAGTTTGTGAGAGGCAAATATTTCCAGAAAGAATTGGTGAAGATCAATTCTGCAGACTCACATAAAATTATAACTGAATAATGAAATGTGATATAACCTATTGCACAATTTGACTGGGCACCTTGGGTATATATTAGGG